GTAATTCAGTTGTCTGTCATGTTGGCTTGTCCACTGTCCAAACATTGACGTTAGCTTTACCATCTAATGAAATGTCACCGGAAATTCGCAAATATTGCTTAAGGGGGGTTATAATAGTAATTATGCCGCAGCGTAATCCCAATATATTTCAGTCACGTCGAGCTGCCAGCTTCTGAACGAGTTTCTTTGCGGCTGTCTGCAAAACCTACACCCCGTAAGAATGGCTACCTAAGTAGTATGACTGTCATTATTTTTCGATGTCATGATATATTCAACGATTTTTGCTATAGAAAGCACAGACGAAACTCTTCTTTCTTATATTCACTTGGTAGCAACCTACGTCTTCCTCAAATCCTTCGATTTAGAAAAAAATTTTCGTAGGAATGTCTTTAGAAGTTTCATTTGCCCTTGAATTATAATAGTAAACTACTTTTACATGTTCAGTAGTCTGACTTTCCATTTTCTCGTTAAATTCCGCCAATATAAGGTCGAATTTCCATCAGTAGGCATCAGTTGCCTGAGCAACAGGAGTTTATATTGATGGGGTCGACTCTATTTAGGTCATTAAAACAATTATAAGCCGCTTAAGTTTAATATGATTTGATCACTTTCAACACATTTAAATATTCATTTACATTCTCTAACCAAGAATTAAATGTTCAAGCACCAATTCCGTAGGACAATTTAGGCGGCCCTAAAAGACAGCTTTACCACCTTTTAAAATGCTTACCACTTGGAACCTGACCTGTGGTTACACTTTCATTCCGGGTTTCCAAACCACATGCTGTATGGACTCCGTCAAAGAAATAGTACACATGCCTCTACACTCTAAGGAAGAAGTAGCACGGTGGGGGTATTTGTATACTTTATAAGCAGCATTAGTAAATTGAGAGGTACGATGCATTATGAACGGAGATTCAACGATATCAAAATAATCTCATAATTAGAAACCTTTTTTTGAATAAGAAGGGCACCCTTTCTTCAAATAGAAAAGTTGGGGAAGTAAGTTGGTAGGAGAGGAGTAGAAGAAGGAATATGCTTGTTCCTGTTTTATCAAAAAAATCAAGTGTACCGCGCATCTGTGCTGTCCGTTCTCCTATACGGAAGCGAATTTTGGGCTATGCGCGTGGAAGATGAACAGAAATTGGAAGTCTTTGACCACTACTGTATGAGGAGCATCCTTCGAGTGAAGTACACCGACTTCGTCTCAAATTAGACAATCCGCACTCGCTGTGAAAAAATCACGAGGATATCCCAGGCCATTCAGGAAAGACGGGTGAGGTGGTTTGGACACGTTCTTCGTCGTCAACTTCAGGAGCCCACTGCTACTGCCCTCGACTTGAAACCGTTGGCTAATTGGAAACGTCGAAGAGGGGGTCAACTCAAAACCTGACTCGACTCAGTCCATCAGGACATGGAAGTGGTTCTTGGACCTTCGTTATTCGGTCTCCGGCGCTGGCGAGGAGAATTAGTCGAACTGTCCAGGTCTGCGGCCACCGATCGTCGCGCGTGTAGAAGCACCGTACGGGACATAATTGAGGCCGGCTAGATCAGTCATGATCGCA